CAATTAAACTGTACTAATAAAATTAGGCTGCCCTTAGGCCAAGTTTGCTAATCCCTGCTTTAGTCGAATCTCTTCTAGAGCAATTTAAAATAAGGAAAAACTTTTTATATTTACCTTTACTTTAACCATTTCCAAAAATACTCATTTATTTTTACAGATCCAAGTTTCTCTCTGGTATAATATTTCTCCTTCATGGAGAATTTAAGTTTCCTTAGCACATATCTTCTGGTAACGATTATCTTAGTTTTTGCTTGTCTAAAAAAAGCATTTGTTTCTCCTTCATTTTTGGAAACTATTTTCTCTGGGTTGGCAGTGTTTTTGTGTCAACACTGACAAGATATCACTTCATTGTCTTCTGGTTTGCATCATTTCTTATAAGGATATTGCAATGCTTATATTTGTTCTTCTGTATCTAAATGTCTTTTTCACCTGGCTGCCTTCAAAATTTTCTCTTTATTTTTGGTTTACAGCAGTTTAGATATGTTCTAGGGAGTGTGTGTGTGTGTGTGTGTGTGTGTGTGTGTGTGTGTGTGTGTGTTGGTGTTTATCCAGCTCTATTTTGATGTTTTTCTCTGAAATTTTTTTTTTAGGAAGATAGGATCTTGCTATGTTGCCCAGGCTGGCCTCAAACTCCTGGGCTCAAGTGATCCTCAAGTGAGCCTCCTGAATATCTGGGACTACAGGCTCACACCACTACACCTGTCTCTGAACTTTTTGATCTGTAGTTTTATGTATTTCATTATTTTTGAAAATTCTTGGCCATTATTTCTTCAAATATTTCTTTTGCCACATTCTCCCTTCTTCATCTGGAATTCCAATTACTCATACGTTAGGCTGTTTGACATTGTCTCACAGCTCTTGGATGTTCTAGTTTTTTCACTCTTGTCTCTTTGTATTTCAGTTTGAATAGTTTTTATTGACCAATCTTCAAGTTCATAGGTTCTTTCCTTGAATTTCTTGAGTTACTGATAATCCTATGAAAATAATTCTTCATCTCTGTTACTGTATTTTTATTAGTAGCATCTCCATTTGACTCTTTTTTATAATTTCCATCTCTCTGATGAATTCTCCATTTGCTCATACATGTTGTCCACATCAACTTCAGAAATGCCACAAAGTACTCAAAACTAGTTATGTCCTGGCCAGGTGTGGTGGCTCAAGCCTGTAATCCTAGCACTCTGGGAGGCTGAGGCAGGAGGATCGCTTGAGCCCAGGAGTTTGAGGTTGCTGTGAGCTAGGCTGACGCCACGGCACTCACTCTAGCCCGGGGAACAAAGCAAGACTCTGTCTCAAAAAAAAGGAAAAAAGAAAAATAGTTATGTCCTAAACTCCCTTTGCCTGCTGGTATGGTGAGAAGCAGTCCTGGAGCTGGGTCTATCTGTGAACATATCCTTTTGCAGAGGACAACCAGGACAACCACTCAGAGATTCTCTGCTAGAATCACAGAATCTCAGGATTCTCTAGCTTCTAAATTTATAATTGTGGAATCTTGGAAACTAGGGTTCCAAAAAATTTTTCATAAGATTTTAGAGTTGAATTTTGGAGCTTGATCACCTCCAGGGATGGGAGTTCCCCAGCTCACAAGGCAGCTGAGGCCAAAGGGGGAGCTGCCTTCCTTCAGGCAGAAGAATGTTGGTAATGTCCACTAGAAGGAGGCCATTCCACATTCAGAGCATCCCAGTCGCAACAAAAGCAGGGTCTCCCTTCCCCTGCCTGTCTCCCATGCCCGTATGCATTACAGTGAGATACCCACTAATCTGAAGAAGAAGAAGGAAGATCAGTACACATTTGTTTTCTTTAATGTGGTTCATAATGCTATTAGGTAGAAGGTCTTAGTCTTTTCTTATAAAAGGAAGAGACTTTTTTAAAAGAATATTCTCTAGCCTTCTTGAACATCCTTTTTCTTAAATTTGCTTTTCCAAATCTCTGTCTGTAGTGGGACCTGATAACGAGACAGAATATTAGGAATTCTTTTAACTTCGCTAAGCCTCAATGACCTCATCTGTAAAGTGGGATCAATGTCTAATCTGGTTCCCCCTTAGGCTTTACAATGTTGTAATGTGATATAAGAGTTAATGATACATCTTGAAGTGAGAAAGACAGATAGTAGGACAATGTTACAGTGCAATGTCATTTGTAAAAATGAATGTGTGCATGTGTGTCCAGGGATGGGGGATAATAGCTGATCTCCGGGTGATGGAATTATGTATATGTTTGTTTTCTATTTACTTACGTACGTGTTCTCATTTTTCTACATTGAATATAGTTTATAGAAAACTAAAGCATATAAAAACTCCAAAGTTCTATACAAATATAAGAAATGATTATCACTGGTCCATGCAAAGTCCCTAACTGAATTTATTTATTTATCTTCCCCTTTTATTTATACCAATGTTTCTCAACTGGGAGCAATACCTCACCCCCCTCCCACCACCCCCAGGGGGAACATTTGGCAATGTCTAGAGACACTTTTTGATTGTCACACAAGGGGGATGGTGTTACTGGCATCTAACAGGTAGCGGCGAGGATGCTGCTAAATATCCTGCAATGCACAGAACAGCCTGCCACTTAGAAGCAATTTCAACCAGGCAAGCTGATATTGAGCTAGAAAGTGAAAATTTGATGTTATAGTTTAATTAGTCAATATTATATTATAAAATATTGAATTTGTCTTCAATATTCTGCTGTTACAAATGATGCTGCAAAGAACATTATTGTATATACATTCTTAGGAAACGTGGGAAGGTGGACACCAGGAAGTGGAGTATTTGGGCTGATGGATATTTCCATCTTTAGTTTTATTTTTTTATTTTGTATTTTACTTTTTTTTTTAAGAGATAGGTTCTCGCTCTTGATCAGGCTGGTTTCGAACTCCTGAGCTCAAGCAATCCTCCCACCTCGGCCTCCCAGAGTGGTAGGGTTACAGCATGAGCCACCGCGCCTGGCCCATCTTTAGTTTTAATAGTAACTATAAACCTAGCAACGTGGATGAAGCCTAAAAAGAAAAACGAAATTGTTCCCTACTTTTTATCAAACTTTCCTCTGGGCATCTGAGGGGCGGGCTATAAACTGGGCTTCCTGCATGGCCCTCCTCAAGTTCAATTAATTTGGTAGAGCAGCAAATTTACTGTCATTTTTGGCTCAGAGGACATTTCGTTATCAAGACATCAAAACCCAAAAACACCAATTTGCCTTTCCATGTGATGGTTAAAGAGACATTCTCGTTCCTTCCCTCCTCCCCCAGGGTGCCGCACTCCCAGACACACCTCAGGGTTAGAAGGGAGATGAAGCTCAAGATCAGGGTGAATAACCTGCTTTCTGTACTACTTGGTAATTTTACAAAGTATCAAAGGTTGAAAGATTTGTACTTCAAGCTTGATCAAATCCCTGCCTCAGCACAGCGACACTGAAGTTACCCCGTGTCTACTAATAAGACGTGAGACCAACACTGCAAAGCAGCAAACAAAAGAAAAGGTGTTTTTATCAGGGTATCGGGAATTGCAATTCAGGAGACACCGATCTAGCAAGCAGCTAAATCGTGTTCCATCCGAGAAGGTTAGACAGGGGCTTGAAGTTTACATATCTGGAAGGTTTTAGCACAGTCCAGGACGGATGATGGCAAGCTGTCAGCTCAGGATGTCTTTCACTGATGATCGGTCTAGTTCGGTGTAACTACCTTTCCAGGAGGCTGGTGGTCAGGCCCAGTACAAACAGTTCCAACCAAATGCAGCTGGTTTAACCATTCGGCCCAATTCAACAAGTCAAATTCCATCTGAGTGTGTATGTGACTAAAATCCAACTCCTCATGCCTCTTGCTCCTTTTTCTTTTTGAGACAGAGTCTCACTGTGTTGCCCGAGGTAGAGTGCCGTGGCGTCATCCTAGCTCACAGCAACCTCAAACTCCTGGGCTCAAGCAATCCTTCTGTCTCAGCCTCCCGAGTAGCTGGGACTACAGGCATGTGCCATCATGCCCGGCTAACTTTTTCTATATATTTTTAGTTGTCTGATTAATTTCTTTCTATTTTTAGTAGAGACGGGGTCTCGCCCTTGCTCAGGCTGGTTTCGAACTCCTGAGCTCAAACAATCCGTCCACCTCGGCCTCCCAGAGTGCTAGGATTACAGGCGTGAGCCACCGCGCCCGGCCCCTCTTGCTCCTTTTTAGATTCTTCTGACATAACCATCTTTATTTTGGATTTTCTTTCATACCCTGCCAAAATATCCTGTCCTCATAGAGACTTATCAACAGGACACAGAGATATCCCTCAGTGGTCCTATGAAATGTTTTTCATGCTCTACCATGCTAGGATTCTAACTGTAGGTGTGTTCTCCTCCAGGGCAATTGGAAACCAGGTGTCTTCTTTCCCTGCAGGTATCTTGGCCATCCTCGTCCCCCGCCTGGACCTGGTCCTCTCCCTGGTGGGCTCCGTGAGCAGCAGCGCCCTGGCCCTCATCATCCCGCCCCTCCTGGAGATCTCCACCTACTACTCAGAGGGCATGAGCCCCCTCACCATCACCAAGGACGCCCTGATCAGCATCCTGGGCTTCGTGGGCTTCGTGCTGGGGACCTACCAGGCCCTTAACGAGCTGATCAAGTCAGGAGACTCTCTCCCCTTTCCCAATGCCACTGGCACCTTGGAACAGTCAACTATTTCCAACTCAGCACTTCCCTCTTCACTTCCTAAACTGACATTCTAGCCTTGTTTGAAAAAAGATTTTTTTCTTTAATTGCTAATATGCATATTTTTGCGAGGCCGCCATGGTGTTGGGTAGAGAGCACAGGAATGGGGTCAGAAGATCTGAGTTCTAATCTTGAGCTCTGTCATTTTCTCCCACCAGATCTGAGGGTCCACATCGCCTTGGAAGCCTCAGTTTCATAAATCAGGTTAAGTAGTCCAGCCTCACCCACTTCAGAACGTCGTTGTGGGAAACACGTGAGAGTATGTGGGTGAGCACCTTTTAAAAAGATAAAGTACTCTACGGATGTCAGCGATTTTTATTATTTTGCTATTTTCTCCTATAATGACTAGAAGCGACATGAAGGGGACCTCCTGTTCTCTAAGCCAAGCTGAACTACCTCTTGTTCCAACCTCTTGGGAGCTGAGAAAACACTGATCTGTGATCCAGGAGACCTGGTTACAACACACACGAACAGCCACCACTGATGGAGGCTCACCATGGGCCAGGAAATGTACAAAATGCATCCCGTATATTAGGTCACTAAATTATCCTCAGAACCTTCCAAGGTAGATAATATCTTTTCCATTTTACAAGGGAGGACACTTAGGCCCCAAGAAGTTAGGGAGCCAGTGCTAAGTCATACAGTTCCTAAGTGGCAGAGCCAGATTTAAACCCTGGCCTACTTGGTTTCGAAGCCCATGTTCCTAACCTCTAAATTTTGTCACTACCTTAGCTACCTGATTTTAGACAAGTGACTTCTCCCTGGGCCTCAGTTTCCCTCTGTGTAAAATGAGAAGGTCAGCTAGATGACCTCTGAGGATACTTTCTAAACTATCTTTGCTCTTTCCACTTCAGAGCCTTCTTAATAAGAGGCCAGCCTCAGCACTGATGGTGGTGACAATTGTGGTTTTTCCTCCAGCCGTCGATTTCCCTCTGAGCTGGTAATTTTCCTTGAGCTCATCAAGTAGGACAGGAATGCTGATGTATTTGAAATTACCGGGCACCTTAACCAGATGAAGATGCTGCGTGAGCACTAACATAGCACCTACACATAATAATGGGGCAATATCTTGATTCAACGGGAACAGCACTGAGCTGAGGTTCATATACAGAACTAGATTTTAGTTCTAGGACTACCCCTAGCTAGTTGGAGAGAGTGGACATCCACTGAGTTTGCCTTCCAAGTTTCCTTCCCCTTCTTCTGGGAACAGTGCCCTGATTTTGCCCTGGGCAACCACCATTTATCTACTCTGTGTGATTTCAGAGGAGCAGACGCTACCCTGACTCCAGGAGCAGGCACACGCCCCAGGCTTGAATCAGTACATTCAATCCCCTGCCCAGTACTTGGCACGAGCACGTGATCCAAAGGTTCATGAGCCCTTGGAGTTTGATCAATAACATCAGAAGGGGGTAATCTTTATGCTTCGGTTGGCAAACCCAGATGAACTGACCTGGAGCGGAAGGAAACATATTCCCAGGCTGCACAGCAGAAGCATATCGCAAGCAGGAGAGAATGAAGCCGAGAGATGGAGGAGAGGCCTGTTGGTATCACTGGAGCTCCTGCTTCCCCTGGTGCCTGATGCAAGTTCCACCTTTCTAGTACTTTCTAGTCACACCGTCTGGTTTTCATTTGCTTAAGCTACATTAGAATGGGTTTTTGACATCTGCAACTGAAAACACCCTGACTAAATCTCTTGGTGACCTCGAGCAAGTTCCTTCACTTCTTTTCGGATTATTTGCCTCATCTGAAACGAGAGCATTGAAACTCTAAAATCCTTAATAGCACCAGAATTCTATAATTCTGTAGTAGAGCTACCACACCCGGCTGGAAATGCTCAATAAATGGTAGCTCTCAATACGGTAGGATGATGACGATGATAATTGTCATTACCATTATTAGCTTCTGCTAAGAACAAACAGATACATGAAACCCGGTGGGCAGTATGAGCAGAGTTAACATCCACTCTCACAGCAAGTGAGAAAGGCCCCATTGCGTCCTCATTCCCGCTCACCGGGAGAAGCCACGTGCTGAAACCACTGACCTCTGGCCCTCCCCAGTCCGCCCTCCGCCAGCAAGTTCAGAAACCTAGAAATGTGTCAGCGCCCATACCGACACACATGATACGGAATTAGGCCACTTAGGGGTTCTGAGGAACAGCTTTTCATTGTTCAAATGCCGTGCTAGGTCAGATGTACCTTTGGAGACTGGACCTAATATGGTATTTGCATGAAAACTCCTCAAGATATCATTGACTCGGGCTTTCTGTCTCTCTGTCTGTCACTCTGAGTCTCTGTCCCTCTCTGTCTCTGTCTCGCACACACGTGCACATGCACACAATCACGCACATGAGCATACACACGTGCGCACATGCATACATGTGCACACGTGTGTGCACATGGACACACAGACATGTGCGTGCACACAAACACGTGGGTGCACGTGCGCGCACACACACACACACACACACACACACATACACATACGCGCACACACGCAGACACACACAATTCTATCATCCCAGTGCCTCAGCAGCCCAAGGCCCAGCGTCTCTCACTTGGTCAGCCCCTGCCTCCTTTCTGGCCCTTCTGGCACCCATTGTTCACACAGATCTTTCCAAACCCCTTCATTGACTTCCCAGCACACGTCAAATAATGCCCCAGCTCTTTACCAGGGCCTGTGTAACCCCAGCCTGACTCTGCCCTCCTCCGGGCTCTGTCCCCTGCACGCCCAGGACTCGGGCAGCCCTGGCCTCCTCTCAGCTCCCGGGACCCTCCACTGCTCCCTGCCCGGGGCTTCTCCCCAGGCCTGCTCTGCCTGGAACGCACTGCCCACTCCTCACCCCTACCTCATCCCCCGATTTTCCCACCACTGCCCCTTCTCTTCCCCTCGATTCTTGGCTCAGATGCCACCTCCTCAAAGTCCTTCCCTGACAAATGTACCTAGATGGCCTCTTCCCTCCCACCTCCATCACCTTCCATGGCGGCACCATGTCCGTTTCCTTCCAAGCATTGTGAAAGTTGGTCATACGAATTGGGTCGTTCTTGTCATACCCAAATAAATCAGAGTGCAGGAACCGGGGGGAAAGCACTCAGGACACATAACATAGCTCCAAGAATGTGATTCTCTGCAAGCCTGGCTGCTGACACTGCCTGCTGTAACCTGGAAGCAGTTTTATCTACTGGCTACCGAAACAGCCTGCTGGGACTCCAAGACTAATTTTACCCACCATCATCGCCCACCCATCAGCGCGTGCCGGCTCCCCAGACCTTTACTATTGCCCACGAGCTTTCTTCCAGAACAATATGTAGCATTTCACCCTTTTGTAAAACCTCCAACTGGCCAGGTGCAGTGGCTCACTCCTGTAGTTCCAGCACTTTGGGAGGTTGAGGTGGGAATATCGCTGGAGGCCAGGAGTTTGAGACCAGCCTGGCAACATTTTTCTCTACAAAAAATTAAAAAAAAAAAAAAATTAGCCAGGCACGGGGTGGTGGCACGCGCCTGTGGTCCCAGCTACTCAGGAGGCTGAGGCAGGAGGATCACTTGAGCCCAGGAATTCCACCCCAGCCTGGGTGAGAGTAATACCCTGTCTCTAAAAAAAGTTAAAAATGAAAAAACCCTCCAGCCTTCTCTTTGTTCTTCAGACTTACCAAATCCACCCAGTCCGTGTGTATGCAAAACTCTTACTTTTCTTTCTCAAATAAAACATTTTAAATTTAGAGATTCTGTATTTTATTTGACTTTAACAGCATTTACTGCAATTTGCAGTTATGTTTCTCATTTATTGTCCACTTTCCCCACTAGACTGTGTCCTCCACTAGACTTACAGAATGTTTGTATCCCCCCAAAATCCATACACTGAAATCCTAACCCCCAGTGTGGCTGTATTTGGAGATGGGGCTTCTAAGGAAGTAATTAAGGTTAAATGAGGTCATAAGGATGAGGCCCTGATCCAACAGGATTAGTGTCCTTATAAGAAGAGAAACCAGAGAGTTCCTGACCACGACTCCGTGCACACGCACTGGGGGAAGACCATGTAAGGACATAGAAGGCTGTATTTGCAAGCCAGCTATAGCCAGAAACCAACTCTGCTAGATCTTAATCTGGGACGTCCATCCTCTAGAACTCTGAGCAAATAAATATCAGTTATTGGGGCCACTCAGCCTGTGGCATTTTGTTATGCAGATCTGGCAGACTAAGCCACATGGACTTCTTTTGTTTGTTCACCAACTTCTTCCCGCTTCCTGCCATAGCACTCACCACATGGCGGGGACTTGGTACATATCTGTTGAATGAGTGAGAGAATCTTCCCATTTGTACTGCATTGCCAGAAACCTAGGAAGCAGTGAAAGCTGTTCACTCATCATGTTCTTTCTCTCTCTGGGCCTCAGTTCCCTGATCGGTGAGGTAGTACAACTCAACAAGATGGCTTCCGAGTCCCCTCTAGTGACAAAATGACATCACAAAGATGGCTTCCCTCTCCAAGGCACTGACCGTGACCCAGGCACTGCACTTGCTCATTTCTTATTTAATCCTCACTCCTGCCTACGGACACCCTCATCAGTATTTACAGCTGAGGATCAACAAGGCAGAGAACCACGTCACCAGAAAGGGAGGAGTGTGGTTAGCGTTACAAACATTGTCCTCTATCCTGAGATTATGCCCTTCCAGCTTCTAGGGTTTGAAATGGTCTCTCTTTTAAGAAATGATGTTGATATTTTAAAGGTCCTTATAGAAAGAAAGAAAAATTTGGCCATCTATGTCAGTCTCTAAAATTTATTTGGAAATTTCATCAGTGCATGAAGTCCCAGTCTTGAATGACCTAAACTATGCACGTGGAAGGCTTTTAAATTATTTCAGAATTTCTACTACGCACTAGTCAGGTGGAGGAACACGGAACAATCAGCTTCAGAGGTGCATTCCAAGAGGCCTGAATTGAGATCAGAGCTCTGCCTCTAGTACTGACTGAATCACCTTAGGCATGGGAAGCAAACCCCTTTGAGCCTCAGTTTCCTCATCTATAAAATGGGAGTAGTGATAGTGCCTACCTCATGGAACACACTTAGTCTAGAGGTTGGCACATAGCAAAGACCTGATACATGTGAGTTGTTACTATCAGTATTACTTAGGTGCGCGGGGTGGTCACAGGGGAGGTACCTGGGGGGACAAGGATGGGGTGGTGAATTCCCATCTAGTAGGGATTTCGTTTTTTCTCTGGAGTCCCCAGCTTCTAGCCCAAAGGATTACTAACGTTCATTTCCACCAGACTGTATGACCTCGGGCAAATCATTTCCCAGCCTTCTGCCTTGGTTCTCTAATCTATTAAAAAGGAAGCGATTACTCCCACTCCATAGAACAGTGGAACTCAAACTTTGGCCAGTATCAGAATCACCTGAGGAACTTGGGGAAAATAGGTCCAAAGGTCCAGATTCTATGCTACTTCAACAAGCCTCAGTCTCCGTGTTTACTATCTCTCCAGATGATTTGACAAACATCATGGTTCAAAACTGCCATAAAAGAATGAAAGGAACAAGGCTCTCTGTTTTCTCTAACAGATCGTAAGAGATTATTACCATTATTTAAATCCCATTTATTTCACCCTTTATGGAGATGTCAAGGCCCTCCTCATACAGGTTGCACGTGTCCCCTCCACCAAGGGAAGCTGGGCCATAAGACGCACCCTCCCCCAAGCCCCTGGGGTCTTCACACCTTTGGAAGTCAGCTACGATCTGGTACCCATGTCACAAAGGGGAAAATGAGGCTTGGAGAGAGGCAATACCTTTCCCCAGGGCACAACAGCTTCGGGTAGAGCCTTGGTGGAACCCAGGGCTCCAGATGCCTGGGCCACCAGTGTTCAAAGGGCTTATTTTGGAGGACTCCAAGGGGAGAGGCCCTCTTGCCTGCTGACTGGTGGTGCAACAAGTTGGGGGTCTACAGCCCCACCCCACCCCATCCTGTAAATGTCATTTTCGCTGACGATGCCTGGAAAGGGCCCCTGGCCAAACACTGATAATCCAGCAGCCCCTTTTGGAAAGGTTTGAAGATTAACCCAGGGTTCTTCTTGCCACCTGGAGAGGAAGGCAAAAAACGAGCTCATATCCAAATATCTCAAGCTCCGGGCAATCTTATTTACTGATCTCGTTGCCTGATCAGGAACAGAGAGCCCTGTGGGTGACATGAGATCTGAGATTAGAAATGAGGATTGTAGAATCTCCATGCTGCGAATGAGCAGGTCACAGGATGCAGCCTGCTACTCCACAGACCAGAAAGACTGCCACGTACTGCTGCCTCACAAGGCAAGAGAGGACATTTCTCAAATCATCGCAAGTGTTTCAGTGGATTCAGAGCAAGGAACTTGAAGGGCGGGGCCAGCTTTCAAACCAAGGGGGCCGTGTAGTGGTCAAAGCAGCAGGCTGCACACCCGGGAAGACCTGGCCGGGGCAGTTTGGGATCTGCTGAGTTCTAGCTGTGACCTTCAGCAGGTTATTCTTCACCTCTCTGAGCCTCGATTTCCACGTCTGTAAAAATAAAATAACGAAGCTACCCAGAGAGGTACCCAGGCTTTGTGGAGCCTGAAGCTCATACCACTGGTGGGGAGAGTAATAGAGAGGGGTGGGGAGGGCCTCTGTAAGGAAGAAAAATACTAAATTACACATTCAAAATTGCATACAGGACCTTGGAAAGAGTCCCATGTAAAGAGGGGCCTGACCAATCCATCGCGGATGCTACCAGTTAACAGCGGGATTATTTAAGCAAAACTCTCAACTCCTAGTAAACCCACAGGAAATGTTAGTTTGGGGACACGAGATGATGGTGGGGAGAGTGGTTTGGCTTGCGTAAAACGCTATAATTTTGAGGGAGTTCATCTGCACTGAAGCAGACATAATGACAGAGAATGGGACACTAGAGAAACGCCCAGGACGTCTTTAGCTGCAGAGTGCAAGCCTGGATGTCATATGTGACCTTAGACAAATCTCACTCTCCTGGTGCCAGCGTCCTGCCCAGGACAACGCGGCCGGGAGTCGCACAGCCTCTGCCTGTTCCTCGGTTCCAAAAGAACACCCCCTATTCATTCCACAGAGCCTCGCAAAAGCCAAGAAGCACTTAGAGATAAGTAAGTGATTGTTCCCATTTTTCCAACTTAAGAAAGGGGAGCTCCCAGAAGGGACACCTCACAGCAGTTTGCGGAGCCAGCCAGCTGTGGAAACCCCCACCCTAACACGGAGAGACGGAGCGGGTGCGTAGCTATTTTCTTGGAGGCAGAAATAGAGTATTAGTTCAAAACCCTCACAAGGGGGGCTCTGGGCCCGACGCTGTCACTTTCTAGCTATGTGACCCCAGGCAGATTCCTTTACTTCAAGAAGCCTCAGTTTCCTCATTATTTAATTTATAGGATTAAATGAGAAAATATAGATAAATCACTTAGAGGAGTGCTTGTCCCTTCGTAAAGTGCTTAATAAATATTTGTTATTAAAATTATCAGCACTGTAGTTGCTGTTGTTATTACTGCTATTAAGGAATACAGTAAGGGTGGGTGACTGGGTGCCTCCTTTCCCAAATCCCTCCCTTCCCCTCCCTGCTCCTCCCAGGAATCCTCTTCCACTGGCTTCTTCAGGCAGGAGGAGGCGCCCTCCAGGGAGGTGGGCGGGGCCTCGGGCCAGCTTGGCCAGAGCCAGTTAAGGGACGAGCCACTGAGCTGGGGTGCACACCTGCACTAGGTACCTTCCTGCTTGCCTCCTTCCAAAGCAGACCTCCTTGTTACCCTGAGCTCCCCCTTTCTAAAGCAGTCATGTCCGTGACAAAGAGTGCTGGGGCTCCCCAGGGAGCCGTTACCCTCAAATTGGACAGTATGTCGACTCCCGAAAGTGCCAGAAAGCTGCAGAACAAGGACTCTAGATTCTTGGACGGGAGCCCTTCAGAGTCGCCGGGCTTGGAGAAGACCAAGGGCATAACGTGAGTGTTGTTTTCTGCCGTCCCCATTTCTGCCCTCCAGCCTGCAGCTTGCATTGGCAAAAAATCTGGAGGTGGGTGTGTCTGACCCTCAACCCATTGTGCAGATGCAGAAACTAAGGTTGCAAAAGGTGCAGTCAGAGGCTGAGTCAAGATGAGAGCTTAAAGGTGCAGGAGTAGAGACTGTCAGAAAAGCCCTTTGGGTCATAGTGATCCAGTCCCCAACATGTGCAGAAGGGAAACTAAGGCCTCATTACACCAGGCCACACACATAGGGGCTAGAATCAAGCGCTGGTCCTAAAGTCAATTTTTTGTTCCTGGCTAGTCCTGTTAATGTTGGGGAAAGAGGCAGAATCCTTAACTTCTTGGAGGAGAAGGTGAGTCCTGAGCTTAAAACCACAGCGGCCTCACCGACAACCAAGCATTGCCTCTTCCCCGCCTCTCTCCTGCAGTAAGCCCGGCCTTTATTTCAATTGAGAATTGCAGTGATGACACCAAAAAGCACAGCACGTGGAAGGTTCTAGTGTTCTCCATGTTCCAGGGGGCGGAGAGGGTGGTCTTTCTCAAGGCTTTCAAAACATGGCAAAGAGGGAACCAAGCTACAGGGCTCCAGCTCCCCTTCCCCAAACCTGACCCCACCACTCAGCCAGACTAGTTAGTTCATTTAGGAAGAAAGTCCGGGAGCATGGCAGTGAAGAGGTTCTGCCACTTTAAGAAGACAGGTTGTGCACATAGGCGTAGCAGAAAGAGCACTGGACAGAGAACCAGAAGGCCCGAGTTCGAGTTGTGACTCTGCTCCTTCTCTTCTCTGAGACGCAGTTTGCTGACACACAAAATATGGCTCAGTAGGTGGCTGCATGAATTTAAAGAGGATGCTCGTGGAAACGAGATCTGAAGGTGTGTGTTCAGGGGTGTGTGGCCGGAGGGGCTGTCAGGGGCAAGCAAAGCTCCTCTCCTGAGCCATCCTGCAGGACACCTGAGGGACAGACACAGCAAGTGGCACTGCGGCCTCGTACAGTTGCCCCAGGTCTAGTCCCGGGGGTTGCTAAGTATTAGTGATCCTGAGGGTGAGAGGGTGAGCTGTCTAGGCCTTGGGGCCATCCACTGCTGAGCAGAGGCATTTCTCAATCAGACACCTTGAGGAAACCCACTAACTCTTGTGTTCTGAACCGACACAAGGTTTGGCGGCAACTGCAGCTACTTAAGAATTGAAGGAATAAAGCGAGTGGCTGCTGGAGGGGACCCGTGGCTTGGAGAGAAGCCACGTAACAGGCTGGGTAAGCATGGCACCTACAGGGTCGGCTCACCTGGGTTCAAATTCCCACTTAGCTGCTTTCCAACTTGGGCAAGTGACCGAACTTCTCTGTGCCCGGTTTCTCCTCTGTGACATGAGAGTTTACTCCTCCCAGGTGATCTGAGCATAAAGCCCCCAGACAAGGTGCTCGTAAGCCCCGGCTGCTGTGGATATGATGCCCATCCAAGGTCACGAAGGAGTTAGGGCTGGAGCCCACATCGCCTGACTCCCAATCCAGCACTTTGCATGACTCACCACACGGTGTTTTTAAGTTGGCTGAGCGGCCCAAAGTTAAAATTCCAATTTCCTAAGTCCTTTAGTTAGAAATTTCCAAAGTGACCCATTGACCCTTTCCTAGTTGCAAAACAAGCCCATCACTGGCGGAGTAGGGTGTAGTGCTCTGTCAGCAGTGTTGACACCCACAGGGAGAAAGGCATGCGAGACTCTCCGCCCCCTTTCTCCCGCGATTGTTCTCTTTAACCCTTGGCAAATCTGTGGACAGAACCTCAGGAAGCGAGAGGATTGAGGGCTTTCTCATAAAGATAGGGGTGTTTGGGGTAGTGCTTTCAAAATACCATTACTCCTAACATTCACAGAGGCTCAGCAAAGGTGAGCGTGTTGCCCAAGACGACATAGCCAGCTTAAGTAGTAACCTGGAGTTTTAGTCCCTGGTTTGTCCAACCCCAGAGACCAGGCTCCTTCCAGGATACCTCTGCTACTTTTCAGAATAAGGCTCCTAGCCGAAAGGTTCTCATGGAGAATGTCCAAGGTTTCTAAAGTTGTACGTGCAAACCCAGTGCTCACCTTGATTTAACCTGGTCCAGGTACAGAGAGGTGTAGAAATAGGTGTGTTTTGTAATCCACCAACAGAGAATGTCCCTCCCTGGAAATTTTTCCCCTGATGATTTAGACCTTGTCCTCTGGACCAACCTTCACATCTGTCTTAAAGAAAGGGTCTGAGTTTTTGTTTTTGTCTGGGGGAAGGGAGGCATGCCATTCCCTGGCCTTGATGCCCTTGGCTGAGAAGAACAAAACCCAAAAAACTTCTGGAGCCCAATCCCCAAATGACTCTGTCCCACCAGACCCCATCTAGGGACTCAAGTCATCTCACCTATTTATTCAGAAATTGTGATGATTTCTTGTTTCTGCCTGCCCTTTTCCCTTTTCTCTGAGTTTGATCCTATCTTACTACTAGTTTTATGACCTTAAGCTAGTCGTTACCCCCTCTCTGAGCCTCAGTTTCCCCAGTTATAAAACAGCTTTGTTCCTTTCCTCATTCTATCTGGGTTTATCTCCAGGAGACAGCTCAGCAGAAGGAGGGGTGAAGAACAGGGATACATGCAGCCCTGGGTTCAAATCTTGGTGCCCCAATATATCCTGGACAAGGCATTAAAAACATCTCTGTACCTCAGTTTCTTCACCTGCAAGATAATAATAGTGTCTACTTCATAGCCTTGACAAAAGGATTAAATGAGATAATACATGTAAAGTACTTAGCACAGTGCCTCGTATAGTGAGCGTTATAATGGCATATACTGAGTGTTAGCTGCTAAAACCGGGATAATTCTGGGCAAACCTGGGTGATCGGTTACCCTGTAGAGGACCCAGATGTGCCACGCAAGGGCCCAGGAACTGAGAGATGGCCAGGAGCCCCCTAGCCAGCTTGCCAGCATACTGCGAGGGAGACTGTTGGGTCTCCTCCCCTCCACACCGCCTCCCCAGCCTCACATCTCCTTGCTCTCCTTTAGATTGTTCCAGACCTTGGTTCACCTGTTGAAAGGCAACATGGGCACAGGGATCCTGGGACTGCCCCTGGCCGTGAAGAACGCTGGCATCCTGGTAAGAGGGGCTGCCGCCGGTGGGGCCACTCTAACAGGTGGTGGAAGGGAGGTGGGAGGAGAGGCTTTAATGGTTTTTAGTAGCCTGCAACGAGCAGTCTTTCCAGGAGGCAGCTTGGTCCAGACTTGGAGTCTAGACATCGAGCCTAGGCTAGAGCTCTGGCTCTGCCACAGACTTTAGTGGCCTTGGCAAGTGATCGATCCACTCTCTGGGCCTCAGTTTCCTCCCTTGTAGAGGAAACTATGACCAGTTTTCCAATTATGCTCTGTAGAGCCCTACGTCGCCTTGGGGAAGCCTCAGAGGCCACCTAGGACACGTGTGGTCAGGATTCTGGGTCCCCTACTCGCACCACTATACCCCCTTATAATTGTTTTCTGTGCTTTATTGGACTAATACTTGAGGTCATATATGACAAATAGCTGCTGCTATTATAAAGGAGCTTGAAAACCAGTTTTCTAGAAAGTTATTTGAGTCCATAATGAAATCTGCACTACCAAATTCCTCCTCACAATGCTCTTCATAAATCCCTTCTCCTCTCTCCTCCCTTGCCCTGCCTGCTCCAGGTGGGCCCACTCAGCCTGCTGGTGATGGGCTCCGTCTGCTGCCACTGCATGCTCATCCTGGTCAAGTGCGCCCGGCGCTTATGCCAGAGGTAAGGAAAATGGCATCCTTATGTCAATTCCTTTGGTACATGGTTCTCAGGGACATCTCAAAACATCCTATACGTAACAAGAGTTTACTTCTTAATTTTCTCCAATAAGGCCAAGAAAGAAGAGCATGTAGGGATAGGGAGCTCAGGTGAGACTCTGCCATGTGGCTCCTTAGGTGATCTCAATCAGGCCATAGTACTTATGTGGTTGGCTCATCTGTAAATTGGGCATAAACAATCCATGCCTAACCCTGCCGCAGAGACTCGTCGTGGGGATCCAATGGGATCGTGGCTGTGAAAACTACTATACCCACGCAAGGTGTATGTGATCACTCCTGCTATGTAGTAACCACCTCACTCAACAGGTAAGGAAAACAAGCCACCAGTGAATTGCTGCCAGGTGTCAAAGCCTGAATGAGTACTTACATCTCTGCCCCAGTGCTCTTTCCACTCTCTGGCTGTGTCCTGCCGTGCTCAGCTTCACTTGACTTTTGAACATGTGATCTTAGGTTAAACTCTCTCTTGGCAACAGTCTACACACTCTCTCCTGCAGGCTTAACAAGCCCTTTTTGGACTATGGGGATACGGTGATGCATGGACTAGAAGCCAGCCCCAGCACCTGGCTCCAGAACCACGCCCACTGGGGAAGGTAACTTGACCTTGCTTTGCCTGCAGTGGGGTAGGGTCCAGGAGGAGAAGATGCTGCTGTCAGCAATACCTTCTTCCCTGGCAAGGTGGTTCATGTGGCTCAGAACATCAGACATTCCACATGGAAGGGGTTCGTTGGCAACATCCCTGATCCAGCCCCACTCCTACTATACCTCCAGTGACAGGGTGCTCATCCCTTTGCTTTAATATTTAATATTACCCACTCTTTTATTTAACCACATTTATCCAGCTGCTGCTATGTGTCAGACCCTGGAAATACCATGGGGAAAAAGACAAATAGCAAGAACCTATAGTCCAGTGGGAAAGACAGATGTTAAATAGCTTAGGACACAGCTATTTCATAACCACTGGGATAGGTATGATGAAGGAGAGAAGCTTGCCACGGAGCAGGTAAGAAATGTGTCTGCTGGGAGGAGAAGGGGACTTCGAGATGGAACAGATGAGATGAGTCCTGAAGGAAGGAGTCCTGAAGAATGAGGAACTACCTGGGGGCATCAGACAGGGGCCTGGAGGGCCTGCCAGGAAGGAGGAAGAGCAGGTGTGGATGCCCCAAAGCAGGAAGGTATATGTGGCAGTTTCAAGGTACAGAAAGACCAGGTAGCTTGAGGGCAGAGAGTGAGGGAGGGGAAATGAAGGAGCCAGGTGCCCTGTCGAGTTGTACATTTTAGACCCTCTTAAAGGTTTTGTTCTTTCCTTAAAGGAAGCCATCGGAGGGTTTTAATCAGGGAGGTCATCATGTTTGCATTATTTTAAGATCTGTCCGTCTTCTACAAGGAGAATAGATTTTATGGGAGCAGTAGTAGACAGAGCAGATCCATGAGGAGTCTGTTGACAACATCCAGACAGGTGACAATGGTGGCTGTGACCAAGCTGGTGGCAGTGGAGATGAAGAAAAGTTGACTTGGTTACGAATGGGATCCTGGGATCGAGAAAAGGAAAAGAGTCAAGGTTGACTCAGATTTCTAATGACTTCTGTTTTGGACGAGTTGGGTGCCCGAGAGACATTCAAGTGTAGATGTCAAGTGGCTGTGTGTAGGTTTGGACCTAACTTCACACAGGAGAGCCAGAGTTGAAGCCATCAGCCACGAAGCCATGGGCAGAAGAGGTCTCTTAGGGAGAGGGTATGGAGTGAGAAGAAAAGAGAAGAAACGACCAAGACTTTCAGGACCGTTTGTTGAGCTGAGTGATGTCTTCCTCCCTAAAAATCCCACCTTTTATCTCACAGAGATGACACAGAACGAGATAATACCCTTTTTCCTCCGGTACTGGGACTAAATCTACTCCTTTGTCTTAATTTTCAGATCTGTCCCCACCCTGTCTGACTCCTGTTTTTGAGCACCATCTACATTGTCAAAGTCTCTCTTGAACTGTGATATCCCAAACCACTGCGGTACTTGCCGTGTGCCCCTGACCACGGGAGGTAGTCTACATGGCATCGTGGGTCTGGCACCAACCTTAGCCCAAAGCCCATACTCAATAAAGTCAGCCTGGGAGCAGACTCAGAAGGCTATGGGACAATGACCAGAATTTTCTCAGTTTTGTGACCCAAGAGGAGACTTGCCTGCCATAGCCCCTCAAATCCTTCTACTCATAGTTGAGCAGATAAAGAAGCTTCTCTGACTCCATTTAGGGGCCTTGTTCCACTAATTATCACCTGTCCTATAATTGGAACTCCTTGACTCTGGGCTCTTTCTCTCAGCCTTTAATGTGTTCACCTATCTATATGTTAAAAGTAATAAGTAAATAAAGCTTCCTGGACTTTACACCATTGTAGCCACCATCCTATCTTATATTCAGTGTATATTATTTGCCCAATATCTACTGAATACCTGCAATGTAACAGAGGTGCTTTAGGCAACAGGTCTACAATGATGAACAAGATGGGCACCATCAAAATTGGAGCCCACACTCTAGCTTCATGAAGGAACAGACCACTCTCTGTCCTTATGTCCCTTCACCTCTTTCACGGGTCACCTGGCTTTACTGTCCTTATAATTCTACTGAAGTTCTTTCTACCAATGTCCTACGAGAGCTCCTTGTTGCACCTTCCTTACTCTAGAGAAACTCTCAGCAGCGGTGGGTACAATTGACCATTTTCTTCTTCAAACATTCTCTCCCCACTTGGCTTCTGTTAAACCTCTTTCCCCTAGTTTCCCTCCTGCCTTTCTGGCCATTCCTTTGCATTGGTTGTAGGCTTCTTTGTTTCTATTAAATATTGGTGTTTAGAGCATTGCTTTCTCCTCTTCTCACTCTGCACACTCTCCAGCACCCATCTGCCTTCTCAAGCTTTATCCATTACCTACAGCTCGACAGTCCCAGACCCTAATGTACAGTTGTCTCCTGGATGTCTCCTGCAGGAACCTTAAGCTCAACAATTCAGATACTGAATGTGTCATTTCTTCCCCTTCTCCTGAAACTGTTCCTCCTTCTGAGATTTGTTCATTTTGTTGGCCAAGCCTAAAGCCTATAAATCACCTTAGATCGTTTCCTTTTCCTTTCCCCCCTAGATGTGATCACCAAGTTCTATAAGTTCTAGGTCCCTGGTATCTCTTAAAATGTTTTAATGCTTAGCTCTCTGGGAGGCCGAGGCAGGCGGATCGTTCTGAGCTCAGGAGTTCGAAACCAGCCTGAGCAAGAGCGAGACCCCGTCTCTACCAAAAAAAATAGGAAGAAATTAATTGGACAGCTAAAAATATATATAGGAAAAATTAGCCGGGCATGGTGGTGCGTGCCTGTAGTCCCAGCTACTCGGGAGGCTGAGGCAGTAGGATCGCTTGAGCCCAGGAGTTTGAGGTTGCTCTGAGCTAGGATGACGCCAGGGCACTCACCCCAGGCAAGAGAGTGAGACTCTGTCTCAAAAAAAAAAAAAAAATGTTTTAATGCTCTCATCCTAAGGACCGTGTCTTTGTCCCGGCTGCTGCCATCTTTTGCCTGCATTATTGAAAGAATCTCCTACCCATTCTCCTGCCCTCAGTCTTGCCCCTGCCATGAACTCTCCACAGACTCTGCCTGCTCCCTCTGCTGAGATGCTCATTTCTTACTTCTTCCCCTCCTCCTCCTCCTCCTCCTTCTTCTTCCTCTTTTTCTTCTCAGTCTCTCTTTCTTCCTTTTCCCAAGGGACTCTCACTCAGGTATTAGTTTTTCTAGGAAGTCTCTCTGTCTGCCCATAATTTGGATAAAATGCCCTTTACCAAGGCCCTAATGCCATAGTATAATAATTTTTGTCCATCTCACCCGCTAATCTACAAACCACTAGAGGAAGGGACCATGTGTCATTTGTCTGTGTATCCTCAGTCCCTAACAGAGTAGGTGGCACATGGTAGAAAATAAATATTTAACATTAATGACAGCTAATAAGAACATTGCGTCCTACATTAATAAATATCAATTATGAGGAATTCTGCAGAGGCAGGTATGGGGGAAGGATCCTGACCACGAAGAATTTTACCACTTGCGGAGCCGAGTATGTGAGGGAAGTTGAAAACCATTGATTAAAAAGAACTATTGTTACCTTACTTCTTTGCCCCATCGTTGACTGTGGTGGAAGGACTGAGGGGGCTGGTCCAGGGCCACCAACCGCTGAGGACAGAGGGCAGAATGGCAAGAAATGGAACCCACAAGTTGGCTTCTTTTATAACAAGTTTTCTTTCTCTCTCTCTCTCTCTCTCCGCTCCCCTCCCTTCTTCTAGGAGTATCGTGAGCTTCTTCCTTATTGTCACCCAGCTGGGCTTCTGCTGTGTGTATATTGTGTTTCTGGCCGACAATTTAAAACAGGTAGAGTCTTCTAGAGAATATGGGAGGGAAAAAGACGTGGACAAGAAGGCCCCTCTGCTAGTTGTTTGTTTAACAAGTTGCTTCTTCTCTCTGAGTTCTCAGTTAACCAACAAAAGAAGTTAAACTAGATGTTATCAAAGTGGCCTTTCCCTGCTCACATATTTGCAGATTTCTGTGTGGTTACTTTTGCCACAATACCCTTTGTCCCATATCTTGGACTAACCTCAAGGTTAGTCTCTAAAATCCTAAACTGGAAATATCCTTAGATTTTGTCAATCCTCCTGCCTTGGGATTTAATCATACTTAATGTTTTAAAATTGATGTGAGTGTTTTGTGATGACTCCTTACCTTCTTTGGGTCGTCTGTTTCTACCTATAGCTACTTATCTGTGGCTTAACAGTCATAGTCCCCAGGAAGTCTTCCTGATCTAAACTTGACATTATTTTGCAACAATTTGAGCAAAATAATATGGTTAATAATGAGGCCTTCCTTAAGCAATAAGCTTTAAAAAGAAAACTATTTTTAGGGCTCTTTTTCTGCTAATAACAGTAATACCAGAAAGTCAGAAATGTAAAAAAGTCAGAAAGAAGAAAAACATAGTAAGAATTCAGAGTTAGCTTCTATCATGTCAGGTACAGTGCTGAGCATTTTACATGGTTTCCCTCACTTAATTCTCTTCGTGACCTTATCAAAGAAGGTACTGTGATTATTCCTATTTTGCAGATGAGAAAACCGAGGTTATAAACTCTGTAATGTATATATGGTCACAGAACCGAGGTTAAAAACCCAGGCCTGTGTCATTCCAGAGCTCAAGTTCTTAAATACTATCCTGTATTTCTTCTCCAAACAAAACAAAATAAAATAAAATTACTCTCAATCCAACTATTCATGGTTATAATGTAATGTAACATTAACTAGTTAGCATTTT